CTTCTTTTTTGGTGATCATGGCTTGTGTCAGAAATTCGCGGGACTACAAGATGTGGGGTCGAAGGAAAGGACTTGTAGGGATTCTCTTAATACAACCCGATCGTGTTGCTGGTCGTGGAATCTTTCTTGGGATGATTGAGTTGGTTAAGTTAAAGTTGAACGTTGTGAGTTGAGGTTTTACATCGCAAACAAATCGAGGATTAGGGACATGTGTACCGTATTTGTTAGTTGTTGTAGCAGGTCGTGATGAATGCAGGGTTGTTCACATGGGGGAATATCGTATAAATGCCGTGTTGTTGAACTCACTCAGTGTGTTGTTGCTGGTGGTCTGGTTGCCTGCAGGTTGTTGTAGTTTTACTGGTAAAAAGCGTGAATTCAATATGATCTACAACCAGTATATATTTGCTGTGGTGCTAGTGGTAGGAATTTTTCTTAAAACTAGGGATTGTAGACACTGTTTTCGTTGTTGTCAAAGTGAGTTGAAGTTGCTGTTATTATTTTTTTTTTTTTTTAGTAATTTATCATTTTAGGAGCAATACTACTAGAATTAAATACAAATTATAATATATAAGTATTTATAAGCACTTCTTGGAGTATGAATACTTTCACACTATAGGTAGGTAAGACTTAACTATTATGATTTTAGCACTAAGACTAGTATCATTTAGTTGTTAGAAGTTTTGATAATTTAAATCCTACTAGTAGGTCTAGGAGTGTTGTTTTTTTAACTCTAAATTTAGTTTTATTTTAACCAGCAGTAGGTAGTAGATTTATGCATTAGTTTGTAGAGGTGCTGCTTCTGCTGTGCAGTTGTTAAGATAGTAGTGGTATTAGTAATATTCAATATCAGCACCTGTAGTATAGAACACGTAGGTGTAGATTAGTTAATAATAACAGCAGCACCAGTAGTAATAGTAGTTAACAACAGCAGTAGTAGTTAACTAACACCATTAGCAGTAGTTAATAGTAGTAGTTAACATCAGCACCAGTAGTAGTTAACATTAGTGCAAGTAGTAGTTAACAACAGTGCCAGTAGTATTTAACAACAGCAGTAGTATGCACTAGCACAAGTAGTAAACATCAGCACCAGTAGTTGACATCAGCACCAGTAGTTAACAACAGCACCAGTAATTAACAACAACACCGGTAGTAAACATCAGCACCGGTAGTTAACAACAGCACCAGTAATTAACAACAACACCAGTAGTAAACATCGGCACCGGTAGTAAACATCGGCACCGGTAGTAAACAACAGCACCAGTTGTAAACATCAGCACCAGTAGTAAACATCAGCACCAGTAGTTAACAACAGCACCAGTAGTAAACATCAGCACTAGTAGTAAACATCAGCACCAGTAGTAAACAACAATACCAGTAGTAAACATCAGCACCAGTAGTAAACATCAGCACCAGTAGTAAACATCAGCACCAGTAGTAAACATCAGCACCAGTAGTAAACATCAGCACCAGTAGTAAACATCAGCACCAGTAGTTAACAACAGCACCAGTAATTAACAACAGCACCGGTAGTAAACAACAGCACCAGTAGTTAACATCAGCACCAGTAGTTAACATCAGCACCAGTAGTTAATATCAGCACCAGTAGTAAACATCAGCACCAGTAGTAAACATCAGCACCAGTAGTTAACATCAGCACCAGTAGTTAACATCAGCACCAGTAGTTAACATCAGCACCAGTAGTAAACATCAGCACCAGTAGTAAACATCAGCACCAGTAGTAAACAACATCACCAGTAGTTAACAACAGCACCATTAGTAAATATCAGCAGCAGTAATAGTAGTAGCAATTAACAACAGCACCAGTAGTAAACATCAGCACAGGTAGTGGTTAACACCAGCACAGGTAGTGGTTAACACCAGCACAGGTAGTGGTTAACACCAGCACAGGTAGTGGTTAACACCAGCACAGGTAGTGGTTAACACCAGCACCAGTAGTAGTTAACATCAGCACCAGTAGTAGTTAACATCAGCACCAGAATTAGTAGTAGTTAACACCAGTATTAGCAGCGGAAAAAGTGGTGGTAGCAGAGTACAGCAGGAATGTTGCTAACAGCATGCTGCTGATGGTAAGAGAAACCCCGCCCACAAGGTCCTTGATTCAAACATCCATGGTAGGAACTGGAAATGTTGAGTTGAGTTGGTTTGAGTCAAGAATTGACATCACAGCACTTGGGACATTTCTGTTCCTGCTCCGTCCCCATCTTCAGCAGCCAACACAGAGTTCCAGTACTAATGGTACCGGTCGCAATCTGGTATGAACTGAGAAATTACAAAATTGTAGTTAAATCATGTAATAAGAATGTTTCAAAGTCCTTATAAAATATTCTGTTCCAATGCTATACACTTAAGGGAAAGGCAAGATGGATGTACAGTCAGACAGTTACTAGTACCATCGGAATTCAAACTATTTGCTTGCTGCTGAAGATAGGGACGGAGCGCTTATGGGAGTGTCCTGAGTGCTATGATGTTGATTCCTAATTCAACATTCAACATAAGAATGTTTAATGTAGAGGATAGGAGGTTGCAACCTCATATAATAATGGGTTAACCATCTGTTCGTAAAACTTATGGATGCATATCATTTCAACCAATAAAGAATTATCTTTATAATTAATAGTAGTAGTAGCTATAGTAATAGCATTAATGGTGGTGGTAGCACTAGTAGCTAGGATAATACTTCTTGTTCGCTTTCACAGGCTGTAAACTCGGGCAGAAAGTTCTGGTTGTTCGTCCACCTTGGGACTTTGGTCTTGTTCCAGAACCTGAGTGTTGCATGCACATCTGTTTTACAGATCTAACTTATTTGTATGCAGATTGTTGGATCCTTGCCTCTCAGGCAGATGTACTCCAACTGAAGGAAGCCCACCAGTTAGTTGACTCCTATGACATGCTTGTTGGGGAAAGCAGTGGGCCTGTTCTTGTTTTCTCCACAATAGGGCCCCAGAACCCACACAGGGAAGTGATAGTACTTTTAATTGTGGTAGCAAGAGAAGTAGTAGTAGTGGTGGTGGTAATCGTTGCAGTTGTGCTTGGGGGGAATAGAAGTCTCCTTTCTTCTTCTTCACGTTCACCAGCTGTAAACTCTGGCGAAAAGTTTTGGTTGTTCATCCACTTCTGGACTGCAGTTCTCTTTCAGAACCTGAGTGTTGCGTATGCATCTATTTTACAGATCTGACTCATGATTTGATTGAAGAACCGACATCACAGCACTCGGGGCATTCCCATAAGTGCTCCGTCCCCATCTTCAGCAGCCAGCGAAGAGTTCCGATACTAGCGATGCCAGTAGCATTAAACGTCCGTCTTGCCTTTCCTCTGAGCCTCGAGCATCTGCCAGAACCTCTCGTCACCCCCACTGCATCAATCTCACCAGACTGGTGATCCATCTGCTCCTCTGAATTGTACACGCTCTCCCACAAGGCACTAACCACGTCTGCCCTATCATGTATCAGTATTCCACCAAGTTGTGCAGAGCCAGTAGGTCTGTCCGCCTGTTCATTTCGCAACACACCTGCGTATCCCGGTGAAAAAATCCAGACAATTCTCCTCACTCGTGTCCGCCGAAGCGAAGTATGCCACTCTGCACGAAGCATACCTGTTCTGATCTTCCTCAGCAAGCTTTCTGAATCAGTTACAATCACGATGTGCATGTATGTCGTGTTCTCTAGCCAGCGGAAAGCTGCAGTGACTGCCTCCACCTCCATTCTTAAGCTGGATGTTGTGGTATATGCTAGGCTCTCCTGCACCAAACGTCGACCATTAACTTTTGCTAAGAAGCCCCAAGCACTTCTTTTGCCGCTTGACACTGAACCGTCTGTGTAGATCTGACTCATTTGTATGCAAACTGCTGGTTCCTTGCCTCTCAGGCAGATGCACTCTGACTTGAAGTAGGCTCCCAATTAGTCGACTCTTACAACATGCTTTTGGCTAGGCAGTGGGTCTGTTCTTGTTTTCCCTATAACCAGCAGTTTTTACATAGGAGTAAAAGAAGTAATAATAGCAGTAGTAGCGTTCATGATTGGTTTCAGAAGAGCAGTAATGGTGGCGTGTGTGTGTGTATATTCTGATGTAATCATGTTTGAAATTAGAATATTTATTACTAAACAAATAGAGATGTTATGACTTACATTAGTCAACAGTATAGACCAGGTAATGCATGTGTGTAGGTTGTGTTTATGTTATAATATGTGGGGAGTTAACAGTAAACAGCTAGTCTATTCAAGCTGCAGGTTGCAGTCAAGCCACTGCAATCTATCCCTGGACGGAAATTGTGCGAAGGCATATAATTAATAACCTCAGACACAGTATATGTTAGGTCATTAGTTTTATGTTTTTTAATGCAGAGTGTGTGTGTGTGAGAAAAAAAGTGTTTGCATGTGTGAGTGTGTGTCCGCTGTTATTTCTACCATAAACACCATCATCGTTGTCTCTGCTACTTTTACTGCTGTTACTGTTGATACTGCTGCTGCTTAAATTTGCGTGGTCTCGAGGCATGGCATCTGCCTCGAGTGCTGGAGGTCTCGGGATCAAGCTGGGATTTTTTCACATGGACTTCTAGTAATTTTCCCTGGTCTCTGGGGAGTAAGTTGCGCACATAAAAAATCCCTAGGCAGTTGGAAATCGAAAAAGATTAGCATAACAGTGCTGCCCTGGCAAAATTTGGGATTAAAAATCAACTTAAAGTATTTCAGGATCCTTGCCGGTGCTACAGAGTTCGTGCACTGCACTGAGATTCTTCAGACTCAGGTTTAAGTAAGAAGTAGAACAGAGCACTTATGTGTTACTACCCCTGTGCCATGATGTTGATCCATCGTCTAAACTTAAATATAAATCACCTTTGACATTGCCTCTGTTACATCTGCTATTGCTGCTACTACTACTGCTGCTGTTGCTACTACTTACTGTTCAAGTTATCAGTAACTATATAACATGTGAACGAAATTTTACTCCCACAACCAGGAACAATTGTCTAACAACTTAGAATGTCCATGCTACATGGTCAGCCACCCCCATACGCAGACGTCCAAGCTCTGAGTAGTATCTCGGTGTCTGCTTCAGAAGCCAGGTAAGACAAATGCCTTATTGTGTCACACTAGTCTCCTCTCAGTTTCAAAATCTGTGCACTATGGAGGTAGTCAGGAAAGGCTGTGGTGTAGTGGCTAGACGTGCGCTGCAGATATACAAGTTTTGGGTTCAAATCTAAATGCAACTGTAGTTTTAAAAAATGACCTTGGCTCCTAGGTTGGCCCAGTCTTAAATGGGTATCCAAAAAGTGATGACGACAAGGGTGACTGCGGTCAGGCTAAGACCAGAGAATTAATTCACTGAACTGCGACTAAGAATCTTAATGAAATAGGGAAAGGGAATAATGTGCACATATGAGACAAAAAGACGTTTCAGCCTTTCTCCACAAAAACGACAACAAAAGAAATGTACTCTGGCCACCAGTCTCCAACAAAGAGACATGGGAAAGGGGGGGGGGTGAGGGCTGTGTATAACTATAAAATATAGGAAGAGGATAATATGTGGTACAAACAGAAGAAACGAAGAAGCAAAACTGGTAATAATAATAATAATAATCACCATAGTGGTGGAAATTATAATAGCTGTAAAGTAATATTAAACTGACAGGAAGCTAGCTGATTGGTTCAGTGAACATCTTTTTGATGTTGAAAAATAAAAAAGGTACTCAAACCAGTCCCTCTTCATTTCAACAGTTATGACCACAACTGTGAAGGCAGTGTCTCTGTCACGAATATAAAATCTTGCTTTGGTGATCAGCCCACACGTTTCTCTTTAGAAAATGTGTCATTCTAGTTTGGGAATTCTGAGCCAAGCAAGTATCAGTGTTCAGCATAACTTTTTAAAATATTTTTCTTACTTTCATTTGCTTAATGTTTTTATTTGTTAATTTTAGCTGTTATTAATGGGTCACTAATATTTTTATTTCTACAGCTACCATTATCATCATTGACTTTATTGGTACTATTATTTCAACCATTTCTGTGATTATTTTATATTATTGTTGCTAGTTCTGTAATCACAGTAGTGCCACTGCACATTGGGCATTCCCATGTTTGCTCAGTCATCCTGTGCAGCAGTTACTCCAAGGTATCTGCTGATTGTTAACATAAGAAGCTGGTTTTAATGTGTCTTATTCTGATCTGGAAGACCACATAGATATACTTGACCAGGCTTTACTCCCAGGTCATATAATCATGTTAGTTTCGGACTCATTATTATCCACCAACCTAGTCCATACAGTTTTGATGACATTAGCTTTAACCGTGTTTTCTCCAGCAAGCAGTGGTGCGTTACTTGCCAGTTCTTGAGATTTGACCTGACCACGAGGCTTTCAGCTGGCCGCCATTCTGCCACTTATTTCATATACAGTTGTAAGCTGTATCTTTTTTAACTTTTATCTTGAATTTGGATCTCCTCTCTACTACAGCTTACAGCAGAGTATACTCAACTTGGCCACACAGGATACATCATCACTGTCCCAGAACCTGTCATTGTCTGCAGAAGTTCAAGGCCATGAGGACAGTGACAGCTTCAATGCCTTTAAACAAAGTATTTACAGGTAGGCTATTTCGGTGGTCATTCATTTTTGATTTTGTTGACAAAGATTAAAACAGAGTATTTACTAGTAGGTTGGTTTGGTTGGTGGCCGTTAACTTTGAAATGGACACAGAATAAAACAAAGTATCTACTTTTTGGTCAGTTTGATGGTTAACTTTTGATATCATGGACATAAATTAAAACAAAATATTTACGGATAGATAGTCTGGTTGTCATTCACTTTAAAAAAAAAAATTCTTTGGCAGAGTAAAACAAACACTGAAGAACTATTGATTCCACATATGGGTTCCGTTTTTTTAAAGCTGAAATAAGAATAGACCCATTGCCCCCTAACAAGCATGTCATAAAAGTCAACTAGTTATGGTTTCCTTCTGAGTCACAGTGCATCTACTTGAGAGATGAATATTCAGCAGTTTTGCATACAAATAGGAAGTCACCGTGGCGTAGCGGCTAGAAGGTCGTTGGTTCGCTCCCTGGCCGCTAGCCAGGCCTTTTTCAAAACTGACCTTGACTCCCAGGTCGACCCAGCCTTGAGTGGGTACAGGGTGCAGTCCCGGGAAGTAAAGACGGCCGGCGTGAATTATGACCACATCACTCATCTTGTGCCTTTTGGTTTATAAAAATATAGGTCTAGCCATATACGCCTAAGGAAGTGGAAAAAAAGACCGTTACTTTTTTACTTTTTATTTTTTTACATACAAATAAGCCAGATTTGTTAAATGAATGCAAACACAACTCAACTGGAACAACACCACAATCCAGAAGTAGCTGAATAACAAGAACTCTCTGCAAGTGAAGAAGAAGTATTGATAATTTCATAATTCTTCAAAGCAAAACACAATTTCTGCAACAACATCAAAATAAAAAATTAGTAGAATAACCAGAACTCCCCTTCGGTTATGCAATGTTATCACAGTCAACATCACTGCACACTGGGCATTCCCACGCTTGCTCAGTCCTCCTAAGCAGCAGCCACTCCAGCGTAGAAGTGTATGTTTATAGAGACATGATTATGGCTTGTATTTATATAAAAATGTGTGTGTAAGAGTTATGCTCACAGCATTCATGACCAATCATTGTGTTGCATGTTTGCAGAGACATAATTATAACCTGTGTTTACATAAAGCTATGTATGTGTGAGTGATGCTCGCAACATTCATGACCGATCCTAATGTTGCATGTTTGCAGAGACATAATTATAACCTGTGTTTACATAAAGCTATGTATGTGTAAGTGGTGCTCACAGCATTCTTGACCGATCCTCGTGTTGCATGTTTGTAGAAACATAATTCTCACCTGTGTTGACATAAAGCTGTGTATGTTTGAGTTTTGTCATCATCGATCCTCATGTTGCATGTTTGCAGAGACATAATTCTCACCTATGTTTACATAAAGCGGTGTGTGTTTGAGTTATGCTCACAGCATCCATGACCGATCCTCATGTTGCATGTTTGCAGAGACATAATTATAACCTGTGTTTACCAAAAACTATGTATGTATGACATTTGTGACTGATATTTGTGTGCATGTTTCAGCCACCCATTGTTCCCCCTTCTTGCCATGGTGTTTGGCAAGTGTGAGGAAGCCACCTACTCACCAGATCTGGCCTCCCAGGGCATGGAGAAGGAGCTTCAAGCATTTATCAAACACAACAGTGAGGTCTCCAAGGTCTCCTTGTTAGGAACTAATGATGAAGTTAATGAATTGGTAATACTTCTTTTTGTGTGTGTTGCAGTTGTTGGCATCTGTCTGTCTTTCAAGACAATAATGTTACTGTAAATTGTGCAGCATAAGTTTTCAAGTCTTAAAACTCTTTCCAAAACTAAGGATCTGCTTATATATCTTCTTCTTTTTTAGCATTTTGAGCCCTTGAGGTTCATTGCTGCAGATGTCACCTACCTCCACTCATCTATCTGGTTGGCCTTCTCTTTCCAGTTGGTAACACCGAGTGTTTTCAGGTCTCTCTGGACATTATCTCTCCATTGTCTTCTTGGTCTGCCTCATGGTCCTCAACCATTAATCTCCCTTGTGTATACAGTTTTTACCTCTCTGTCATCTGACATTTTCTCAATATGTCCCAGCCATTTCAACCTATTAGCTCTCATGATGCCAGTGATCAGTGGTGATTTAAACAGATTATGAATTTGGTTGTTGTTTCTCACTCTCCATTCCCTGCTGTTTAAATCTTTGATAGGTCCAAAGATTTGTGCTTTAAAAAGCTAATGAGCCTTCATCTATTTTAGTTGTACTCCAAGTTTCAGAGCCATATAAAACGACTGGTCTTATTAACGTTTTGTATATTTTGATCCTGGTGTTGCGTGGTAGAGACTTTAACACTCTCTCTCTCACCCACACACTCTCTCTCTCTCACATACTCGTACATTCTCTCACACACCCTCTCTCTCACACAAACTCTCACACTCTCTCCTTCTGCTTATTATTTCGGGTATAAATTACATTAGGTAAGTATAGACCTGAGTGAGAATTTCGAGTGAAATCTTGTAAGTTGCACTGGTACACCAGATCAACTTGTACTTCACAATTTTTACAGTATACTGTTCTTTAAGGAGGGAACACATTTGGAACCTTGCCAACTTCTTCAAGCTCACAACTGAGCAGACATTTCTCTGGGATCTGTCTGAAGAGACTGAGACACTTATCGAAACATCACTTTCTTATGACAGTAACCCTCAGTCAGAACACTCCTTTTGTGAAAAGGCAAGGGCAGACTGCCACTGGGATCATCAGCATTGGAACTCTTCGCTATCTGCTGAAGATGGAAAACAAGAGTGCTTATACGTATGTCCAAAGTGCTATGATGTAAGTGTCTAACTCACCTCAACTCAGCTTTCCCTTCCTCCATCCCTTACTCATTTTCCACTTCAGCTGTTTCTTCTCATCCTCCTCCTCTATGCTAGAATGATGCCGATGTTTTCTCTGATGTCCTACAGATGATTAAAGCCATCCAGGTATTACGCATTCACCTGCTGGAAGTGGAGAAAGTCAACGAACTGTGCAAGGATTTCTGTGCCCGCTATATTTCCTGCTTGAAGGGGAAGTTGACCTCTGAACAACTGCTGCATGTGGACGGCTGTGACTCTCCAGAACCTCAAGATTTAAGCCAATGTAGGTTTTCAGTTTGTTTGTATCAGTTGCCAAGTCCCAAACAACGCCTTATGTGAGAATCACTCTGTCTGCTGAATCCCTTATGTGTGAATTACTCTGTCTGCTGAATCCCTTATGTGTAAATTACTCTGTCTGCTGAACCCCTTATGTGTGAATTACTCTGTCTGCTGAACCCCTTATGTGTGAATTACTCTGTCTGCTGAATCCCTTATGTGTAAATTACTCTGTCTGCTGAATCCCTTATGTGTAAATTACTCTGTCTGCTGAATCCCTTATGTGTAAATCACTCTGTCTGCTGAATCCCTTATGTGTAAATTACTCTGTCTGCTGAATCCCTTATGTGTAAATTACTCTGTCTGCTGAATCCCTTATGTGTAAATTACTCTGTCTGCTGAATCCCTTATGTGTAAATTACTCTGTCTGCTGAATCCCTTATGTGTAAATCACTCTGTCTGCTGAATCCCTTCCTTAGCTTAATATGCTCTATTACATTTTGTATTTGGTCAGAACAGACTCAAGAAATCTGGTCTACCCACTGGTCACAATTACTGTTATATTACTACTTTTAAAGTAATGAACTGATGTATTTTAATCAGGGTATTTCTTCAGTGACATCTAGCGTACTGCAGAAGCTGCTGGATCAGAAAAGCAGTGCTGTCTGTCTGCATATCCCTCCTACACTGGCAACCAACCAAGGCTGAGGGCCTTGGTCAGCCCTTCCAAAACATTAAGTTTGCATGTTGAATTTTCTCTTCCTTGGATAAAAGTGTTAGATTCTGCATTATTAAAAAAGTGCAACCCTGTGACTAGAAAAAATTTCACACAAAAACTTTGGTATCCACTCAACCTAAATAGGTGCCAGATGATGCCCCAAACAGTAAAGAAGACTGGCGGGGTGCTCACCATAACACCCGCTGAGTGACTATTGGTCTATTAAGATAGGAGTCTGACGTCATATGTCTCTTGTACCCGTTACGTGAAAAAAGGGTCTTTTACCTTTTTCACTTAACATGTTGGTGTCATGGCCATGAGGGCTGAGTGGTCTCTGTACGTGGCATCCACCTCTAATGCTGGAGGTCCAGGGGTTGAAGCTCCGGTGAAGGCTGGGATTTTTTCATGTAGATTTCAAGTAATTTCCCCTGGTCTCTGGCTAGTAAGATCGGACGCTCGTGTGTAATGCTGTGCACCTCAAAAATCCCTTGGCAGTTGGAAATTGGAAAGAGTAGCCTAACGCTGCTACCCGGGCAAATTTGGAGTTTAAAATCTACTGAGAGGATTTTCAGAATCCTCGTCGGTGCTACCGCGTTCATGCACTGCGCTGAGATTCTTCTGATTCAGGCTTGAATTAGAAGTAGAATGGAGCACTTATGGGTTACCAAATCATGGCCACTTAACTGCCAGAAATGTCATACCCAGGCAACATATCCTAAAGAAGGCGGAAAGGCACAGATGTCACAGCTGAGCACAGTTGCATTTTGGGATGGATAAAGATGACAGCAGCTCTCAACCAAATACTCTTTCTTTACAGTGTTATAATTAAGATAAGCTGGATAACATTTGACCTATCCTGTCCAATAGCTTCCCAGAATATGGTGTCCTTGAACTCCACCATGCAAGTTCAGCAGCCACCATTGGTCGCCTCTACAGTTGTCGGGGGCGGCATGCTCCTTCCCCAGCAGCAGCAACAGCAGCCACAGATTGTGTCAGGAAACACAGTGTACCAGATGGTGCATACACCACAAGGCATTGTGGCCCAACCTATTCAGGTAAGCTGTTTAGTGGTTTAAATCCTTGCTGTTGTCATTAAAATCTTGATTTTGTTATATTTTCATCCTGTCCTTATGGTGCCATCTACACAATAGTGGTTGGCTGCAGTGTATGCACTGCTAACTGGAAATATGAAGTGAGTTCTTAGCTTCTTCCATGGGTCAGCTATTATATCACTGTCTGAAAGCCACTAGGACTGTCGTTTTGTAAACTGCTGCTTGTAAATGTTGACTACTGCATTTTGAAATGATTTTACTAAACCTCTGAGCCACAGAATCTGCTCATTTTCATCATACATGACATCATTTCAGTTTCCCCCGTTTGGATTCTGAAGCTCCATTTATGGGACAATAAATAGATCCACTGCCCTTTAACAAGCAAAGTTGTAAAAGATGATTAATCAAGGTTTTGCTGATATTTGACATGCCGACTGCACTTTCAAAGCCAAACACAGAAGAAGAATTATATATCTAATCTTGCTCTGTAAAACCACACTCTGAGGTGTGAAGTCACACATGTTTTTTTTAAAGGCAGCACTGTAGAGATACAGGTAGAGAACTGATGCAGATACAGATACAAGAAGCAAGAGGAGTTTTCATAGCACTGTTAAATCTGTGGATGTCAAATGAAAATTAAAACTATTATCAGACTTAGAATATTTAACTCCAAAACTCAGTCTTCTTCTTCTTCTTCCAGTGCTACAGAGCCTGTGCACTGTACTGAGCTTCTTCTGACTCCTACTTGAGTTAGAAGAAGAACGGAGCACTTATGGGTTACTACCCGTGTGCCATGACTTTGATCCATTGTTCAAACCTCAAACTTCAAACCTTGAGTTAGTTATAAACATTTACTAAATAGTACTGGTGCAGAACAGAAGGAATTAAATCTTTTGACAGAATTACTAGCCTGAAGCTTTAGATAAGAACTAAATAAATTGCTGTGCGTTAAGAGGTTTGAAAGAGACACTGGCATTGAATAGGACATGTTGAAAAAACCTGAAAATAATGTAACTATAATGTTCTTAGACTGGAACCCACAAGGCCAAAGAACCAAATGAGACCACAGGTTGTTCCTTCTTAACCATCAGCTGCCCCAATCTCTCTGACTCTATATACTCTTTATGTTGCTGTTGACACATAAGGCATTCACAAATGATCTCTATTGCTGCTTTTCTGCCCATGGTATCCCATGTCAGTTTACATTTCTTCATTTCCCGTTCTATTGTTAATCCCCAGCCATCATTTCACCAAATATCTGGCAAGCTTTACTTCTTTGCACCGGTTCAATGATTTCAATTGTTCCTGTTTCCGTAACAAAGTATTTTTTTTTACTGTAAAGGGTCAACCCTTTGCCCATCACCCAACCTGGAGGACCAGGGTGCTAGTTTGGTCTGACTCTCTTCTTTTTAAGATCTATTCGGCATGGTTAAACCTGTCAGGGGCATAGCTCTGAGAGTTATTAGGGTACTCAAGCCATCCCGCCATGACAAGGCACCAGCACCATGGGTCTACAGGTGCCCAACTGTATATAACTGTGTTATATGGTTGAATACATTTCTTGGATCTGCGCCTGTTTGATCCTTATCCTTGTTGATCCCATAAAATGCAGAGCTGGAGGGGAAAAACTAAGCAAAAGAAGAAGACAACAAAACAATGTCAGTTTTTCATGTTTAGGCTTACTGTGGTTTCCACTTGACTGGACAGACATCTTTGCTGGGTGCAGTTTATGAGAGTTGTAGTTGTTCTGCAAGATCTCAACCTACCATTGTTATTTCATATCATGTCGCCCTAATGTAACCTGAAAACTGCCCCTGCAGATCCAGGGCCCTCTGACGCCTCTCAACCAGCCTGTACAACAGGTGATTCATGGCAGCACCCCCCTGTCCCAAATAGGGGTCTCACTAACCTCTCCACCACACCATCAGCAACAACAGCAGCAGCAGCATCAACAGCCACCCCAGCAGCATCTTCTGCAGCAGCAAACACAGCAGCATCATGATGTCAAACCTAGTAAGTTTCTTCTTCTTCTATTCCTCCTTCTCCTCATCATCCTCCTCCTCCTTCTCCTTTTTCTTCTCCTTCTTCTTTGTCTTCTTCAGGAGGATAGTTGACACAGAATCAATATTGAACTTTATAGGTAGACAACAAATCAAATGGTTTGGCCATGTAACAAGATTGACATTAGACAGGGCACCACAGAGAACAGTGTTATACAGATAGAGCGGTAACAAAATCAGAGGTCGACCGTGCAGAAGATGGACCACATAAATATCAGAGATACTTAAAAGTACTTTATATGAAGTGAACAGAAAGGCCCACTCCAGACATCTCTTCCTGCCCTGACATTGTGAGGCATTTCAGGAGTAGAGAAAAAAAGAAGAATGTTCTTTTCATTCTGTTTCTTCTGAACATCTGTACTCGATTATTGTAATATGTAACTGCCCCCCCCCCCCCCCCCCCCCCCCCCCCTCATGCTTAGGTTTATTTAATCTTGCCTACCGTTATTAATTTACTGATTTATGTATCAGCTTAGCTTTCCAAGCACACCCAACGATTCTCTCTCACACAGGAAATATCATCAAGTGTAGAAGCTGATAGTTCCAGTAGCTCACTTGTTGAACACATTGTACTCTTCCTATCAAATGTCCTTTCTTGCCAGATCGACACTCAATTCCAAATTCATGCAACATTACACATATTTTTTTTAATCTAACATCAGCGATAATTCTAAAATAGTCCTCATCATCCCCTTGTGGGTTCCAGGGCCCTATTGGGGCAGGGGATGGGGGACGGATAGACTCATTGCTTTCCTAACAAGCATGTCATAAAAGTCTCGTAATTATGAGTTTTTCTTTCAAAGTTAGAGTGCATCTGCCTGAGAGGTGAGGAACTAACAGTCTACATACAAGTAGGCCAGATTTGTAAAATGGATGTGCACCCGGAACTCAAGTTCTGGAACAAGACTAAGGTCCAGAAGTGGACAAACATTCAGAACTTTCCACTGGAGTTTACAGCCAGTCAATGCTAAAGAGCAAAAGAAGACAGGATCTTACTGCCTTGTCTAGTATGATTGTTATTACTGCTTATTTTTAATAAGCAAAAAACACCAACTCATTTGTTACTTGCATGTCCTGGACAGTGTATACATGAGTCCCTCTAACTTAGGTGTGATGTCACACGTCAGTTTAAAAAAAAAAAAAAATCAGACACTGTGATGCCTCTGATAAAGCTTCTTTAAAAAATATTTTTTTAAAATTAGTTATCCAATTCAGAGCTTCATTATTATGATGGTTAGCTAATCCTTTCTTTAAATGACCTTTAATCTAAAATCTTAAGCAATTTTTCAAACTGACTGTCTCCAGATGTCCATCGTTTGTCTGAGGATGAAGATGAAGACAGAAACTCCAAACAGAAAAGAGGCATCCTTCCCAAGCAAGCTACACAGATTATGAAATCCTGGCTGTTCCAGCACATTGTGGTATTTGTACATGCATCTTTATATCACAGTTTGTAACATCTCATAACATATCATAGTCATAACAACTCGTAATTCTGATTTTTCATAGCCATAACACCCCAAGGCTTAACATATGATAGTCAGTCCTGACATCTCTTAATCCTAATATCTCCTAGTTCTGACATCTCAGTCATAAAAGTCCTAACATCTCATAGTGCTAAAATCTCATAGACCTAACATATCAGTCATAACATCTCATAGTCAAAACATTACATCTCATAGTCCTAACTTGTCACCTCAAAGTTGTAACATGTGATGGTTTAACATCTTATAATGTCCTTTAGATATCAAAGCAAAAATGCCTATTACAAGCTGTAAAACTTAATAACATAAAGACGACAATTGCAAAAATTGCTGTGTAAAACCCATGCTATTTTATGCATATACAACATAGACAATAAGCACATGAGCTGAGAGATAGGGAAAACAAGAATAGACCCACTGCCTACCCAAAAGCATGTCATAAGAGTTGACTAATTGGGAGCTTCCTTTGAAGTTGAAGTGCATCTGCTGGAGAGGCAAAGAAGTAACAGTCTGCACACAAATGAGTTAGATCTGTAAAACAGGTGCGTACGCAAAACTCAGGTTTTGGAACGGGACTGCAGTCCAGAGGTGGGCAAACAACCAGAACTTTCCGCTAGAGCTGGTGAACACGAAGAGGAAGAAGACCATTGATGCTGGTGGAAATGGGGTTTTTTTGGGGGGAGGAAAATTTGAAAAAAAAATTGATGAGGAAAGAGCAAAGGAGGCCAGAGTGAAAGATGATTAAATGACCTGGCCATTTAGCACAAGCAGAACAAGGATACTCGCCCAATCCAAGATTCTGATGATTGAATGAGATGCCAAACCATGGCCACATAAGATTCATTATCATCATTATTATCCTGTTCATTATCATCATTATTATCCTGTTCATATCATCATTATTATCCTGTTCATTATTATCATTATGATCATGCTGTGCCGGTACACATCCCATAGAGCTGCTAGTCGATTCCTCAGTTTCAACTTTTGTTGCGCATTTAGAGTACTTTTTGACAGTGTGTGAAATCTAGTCTAGCACCCCAGGCTTCTCTCTACGGTGTTTGTTTGTCATAGGGTTTTTCTTGTATATCTTAGGATTCTCTTGTATATCTTCAGGTTTCTCTTGTTTATCTTCACTTGCTCAGTCCATTTGTTTTCCATTCCAGTTAAAAATTCTTTGTCTGTTTTACCTCAGAATAGACCCAGTATATCACTGTCATTTTGCTCTTAAAACTTGATACCAGGTGTTGTCCAAAAATGTTTGCTCTTAAAACTTGATACCAGGTGTTGTCCAACAATGTTGCTATTGCCTCTTCCCTTTATATATGTCATCCCATTTAATGTTCATTGGTTTCCACAAATCAAGGATTTATTTATTTTATCACCAGCATCCGTACCCAACAGAAGACGAAAAGAGACAGATCGCAGCTCAAACAAACCTGACCTTGCTACAAGTCAACAATTGGTTCATCAATGCACGGAGAAGGATTTTGCAGGTTTGGATGAAACTCTTTTTCAGGGGATTAGTCTAGGGCAGACATCAGTGGTTGTAACTCTCCACTCTTGTCATCAGATATTTTGATTTTTGAATATTGCTCCTATTATTTCTTATTGCTCCGTTATTGGACAAGTAATGTTGGACGTGATGATAAAAGTGCATAAAGGGCGTTCTCTAAATATCAAGAAAAAGAAGAATCTTCTTATTCACATTTGCCGGCCGTAAACTCTGGCAGAAAGTCCTGGTTGTTTGTCCACATCTGGAATTTGGTCTTGTTCTAAGACTTCCATTTTACAAATCTGGCTTGTTTGTGTGCAGACTGTTGGTTCCCTGCCACTCACGCAGATGCACTCTGAACTTGAAGGAAACGTCAGTCCTGCCTATGTTTGTCAGGCCCTCCTCGGCTGAGAAGTTGTGCCTAGGATGATAGCGGAGAGGTGTAGATAGGTCGTGGCCTGTATGACCCCTGGTTCTGGTTCACCGTGTATGGTTCAGCACCTCTACATCCCCTAAATAGCTAACATGTGATATTTCTGTAGACAAGCAAATATTTAACAAAGTTAATAAATTTAACCTGAAAATTGAAACACCAAGAGGCAGGGATGGATTGAAGGAGTCACTGACACCTTGAGGCTGCATAACATCATGGCATATCAAGCGACTGAACACGCCCTGGCTTGGCTGTGGATCATCTGATGAACTGCGACACCTAGCGGCATAAGCAGATATTGACAAAAGAATAAATTCAAACATTTGGCTACACTAATATCAGGGAGAAGATGTGTGACATAGATTAAGACCAGGATAGGCCAAGCAATCTGTGTTTTGGACAATGCAAATATATTCAGCCACTTTCTTTGAATGTCAGAAAGAGAGGACTGAATTGAAATGTTATGTTCAGCCTGTTATGCTGCATGGCAGATTACAATTATTAGTGCAGTTTTTTGTTTATCATGTATGGAATCTGTTTGAGCATCTCTAGCCTGTCTCAGCAATGTTTGTTGCAGTGTTTCTTTTTAACATTCTTGCTTTAGTCCTTTTTTTTTTTTTTTTTTGAGACTGTTCTGTTCTGTGATTATGTGTCTTGGATAATAAATGAACAAATCAAAGAGAGCCTGGAGACAGCAGAGATGTAATTTCTGAGATAAGTGTGCAGATACATTGGAAAGCCAGGGTAATTAAACACGGTTGGGAAATTTTCTTGAGAAACGGATGGCTGAATGGTTTAGAATGCAGAGCTTTTCTGTTAGAGATCTGGGTTCAAATACACGGTAAGGTTGCAGATTATTTTCTGTAGGTAAAAATGAAATAAAAAATCCTAACCTGCACAGTACTTGGTGACAGCACTAGCCATGCAGCCTAAATCCTGAGGCTAGAAAAACCCCCCCCCCCCCCCTTCCCCAGCCGCCTACACCTTAAAAGGGATAAATACAAGCAGCAACAGCAGTTTATTTTTAATGGCTTCGGGGAAAAACTAATGGGGAAAAAAAGAACATTACATACAACTTTGAGAAAGGGAAATAGAGTGTTGTTTTTTCATGTTACACGAAGACAGGTGTTGGAGAAAATAACTAACAATTCAGTGGTAGAAGAGGCAGAACCAGACCAGAGAAATGATGACAGATGATTCTTAGACAGCGTCATGGAGAAGTATGAATGGAACTGTTTCAGAACTTCAAGATCTGTGGTGCCACATGAATGTTTAGGTCATTTGCCCAGACATATAATGATGATGATGAGCTACTTAAACTGTCCATGTCCACCTTTTATTTCTCTGCCTTTCTTGCCAAGTATTTCCTTACTAAAGTGATTTCCTTTTTTCATGGTTGTATCCCCTGCTTTGTAACTCTAGGGCAAAGTGGTGAAGCCATTTGCCTCATGCTATGAAGATTGTGGGTTCATTTCACCTACCTGTTGGTTTAGTTCACAATCACAAGTGCATTTTTTTTTAGAGAGATCTCTGGAGCTGAAATTCAAGCTTTGTGCAATGTCAGCAGATGGTAGCTGTTTTGTGGAGAGAGTCTAAGCTTAAGGGATAACCCTTTGCTCTGAAGCTGACCTCTCAACTTTAATTGTTACCCATTGTTTTGTATGTCTCATGAATTTGATTTTACCAAGATTTCTTATTAACTAATACTACAGCTGAATCTTTGCTGAGTCCACCATTACTGAAACTGAGGAGTTCATCTCTTTTCCTCCTCCACAGCCAATGCTGGAAGCATCAAACCCAGAAAAAGCCAAAGCTAAAAAGCCAAGCAAGCCAGGCAACAAACCCCAGCAACGATTTTGGCCCATTCAGCCCAACAGTTCTGTAAAAGAAGACAAAGATGACGATGATTCAACTCCCAAGCCACAGGCGTTGCCTCCGGCATCACCAAGAAAGATGTCAGTCTCATCAGTTACCACTGCCGCAGCATCTTCAGCAGCCATTACAGCCACTTCTATGGCTGAAAGAGTACAGCAGCAAATTATTGCCACGGATACAACTTTGGCTAGCCAGGCTGAAGCTCTCATGGGGTTTATGCCCAACGGAGGCTGTAAGTATTCTCCTTTCGTATTCCTCCTCTCTCCTATGTCAGTGCCTTTGGATTTTACAGGATCTGAGGGGTTTTGTGCACCTTATGTGATTCATAGGAGAGAACTGGAGCAGATGTGGCTGAGATTTTCCTGGTGTCTGCTTCAGACTCAGCATTTCTGGGTTGTGGGGTTTCTTGTAAATTGGCACTTGGTTTTTCATGGAGTATTCCCAAGCTACTCCACTCTCTACATGTGGCCCCTGCAGATGTTGTTTTTGTGCTTAAAGTTTTCATCCACTACTACAAGTTACCATTCACAGAAAATTTTCTTTGAGACATATGTACAAGCCTAGAAAACAGTTTTTATAATGCATGCAAAACCTGAATCATATTTAGTCTTGACTTAGGAATGATTATATCAGGAGAAAAGTCGGCACAGAACTAAAATTGAACTTTATTGGTAGAAAACAAATCAGGTGGTTTGGCCATGTAACAAGATTGGCATTAGACAGGGCACCACAGAGAGCAGTGTTATACAAATACAGTGGTAACATAGCCAGAGGCTGACCACACAGAATGTGGACCACAGAAATATCAGAGTCACTGAAAAATACTACATACGAAGCAAACAAGGGCTAGTTTCAGAGATCTCTTTCCGTCCTGATGCCACGAGGCATTTTAGGAGTAGAGAAAAGAAGAAGAAAGAGATACAAAACCTGGAAAACATGTTGGAAGTAGTGTATCAACAGAGGAGGGAACTTTTCCAAAGAAAACTGTAAGTTAAACCAAAGGAAACAATTTTTAACAGTCTGGTTTTCTTTTTCCTCAAGATTCATTTCAAAAGGGCAGAGTATCACATTAAGATTAAGGACATGACACAATAGACTTCACTAGCACATCTGAAACTTTTTCACTGTGGGAGGCAGGAAGACAGATGTGTACCTCCAGATTGGCACCTGAAACTATCAACAATATGCTGTTAACAGGAAAGCAATCTGGCCTGTCCTAACCTCAATCATGACAAAGATGTATGGTAGACAGCAAGATTTTGACTGTATGATAGTCTTTCTCAAGGCTGCTAATATTCTGATACAAGTTTTATGATAGAAGGATCTAAGAAGAGAAGGAAAACTGCAACAGCCTTGTTTGTGGTATACTTCTGATACAAGTTTTATGACTGAAAGATCTAAGAAGAAGAAAAAAACTGCAACAGCCTTGTCTTTTTTGTGGTACACTTCTGATACAAGTTTCATGATAGAAGGATCTAAGAAGAAGAAAAAACTGCAACAGCCTTTTTTGTGGTATACTTCTGATACAAGTTTTATGACTGAAAGATCTAAGAAGAAGAAAAAACTGCAACAGCCTTGTTTGGTGGAACACTTCTGATACAAGTTTTATGACTGAAAGATCTAAGAAGGAAAAAAAAACTGCAACAGCCTTGATTGGTGGTACACTTCTGATACAAGTTTTATGACAGAAGGATCTAAGAAGAAGAAAACTACAACAACCTTGTTTGTGGTATACTTCTGATACAAGTTTTATGACAGGATCTAAGGAGAAGAAATCTACACCAGCTTGTTTGGTGGTATATGCATATCTGCTAGTCAGTTTGTCTTGTGTTTGAATCTTTAGGAGAAGTCTCTTTCTAGAACTGCGTGGGTATGGAAATGTATATATATCTCAACACTTTGAACTTATGATGAATGGGCCTAACTTCCATTTTGAATACAGTGGGCGCCCACACAGTTCTTAAAGGTACATAGATAGTGGGGAAAAGACAAATACCTGTAAGAGGATAATTGAAGAATTATTAGAAATGGAGAGATTTGACCAGCTGAGTGTGTGACTTCACAAAATTCACAGGTGCTCTTTCTGGGAGTGGGGGCATGTCTGTACGGAGTATAGATTGGAATCAAAAGATATGGAACGGCTAACACCGAGAAGTATCACTGACAGTGGGACATAATGACAATATTGAGGCCTGGTGTTATCAAAAGTAACTGATATTTTTTTTTAAAACTCTCTGGAGGCTTTGACACTGGGATAAAGTGAGTGGTGATTTCCTTCTTACTTTGTGAGGTTGCAAGAGTAGAAATACTGTCAGAATGTTCCTTAGTTAACCGTTTCCATTGTAACTGAATTAGACTAGTGTAGTCTTTATCTCTTTTTTTTTTTTCTAAATGGAGCAGTCAGGAAGTTTTGTTGTTGTTGTTGTAAATTTGATTTCAAACAATGATAATTATTTTTGTTTCAGTTGTGGTCAGAGTCAGCCCTGAGGGTCATCTCATCCCAAGTGCCCCCATGGCCACCCACAACCCTATGTCCATCACCCTGGAGAATTTGCAAGCTCTTCAGTCGAATGGATTCGTGTTCACCCCAGGCCCCACCTCTCTGCCTTTCAGCTTACCCTTGGGTGCCATGTCACCCTCAGCAGGGTTAGGGGTGGGGCATTTCTCCAATTTAGCTGCTTCACCAATGACATTTGGAGGATTAAACTTTGCTCCCGCCTACAACACTGCATTACAGGTAACAAGATTTTCTTGGTGTATGTGTCCATAGGGAATAGAAAATTTAATTCTGTCTCTCAGAAAAACACAGTGAAGACCAAAATTTGTTCTTGAATTTAAAGAAAATAAAAATAATGTCCACAGACAAAACTGGCTGTCACCCAGAAATAACAAATGATGAAGAAATAAAAAATGTCACAAACTTTGAATATCTAGTCTCTATAATAAATATCAATGGAGACTATTTGAAATCAAAAGGAGGATGGCTGTAGCAATGCAAAGATTAAACAACATTATAAGTCTTTGGTTAAACACCAGCAAGGAAATCAAAATCACAATTCTGAAAGCATGCATCTTCCCTGTAGCAGCAGATGGATGTGAGCCGTGGAATGTCTCCAAGTGCTTAAGAAAGAAAATAAGGGACATTTCAGCTGAAGTGCTATAGAAATACTCTCAGAATACCATGGACAAAAAAGAGAAGAAATACTGATACTTTAAAAGATCTGAATATCAAAGAAGATTGGCTAACAAATAACATCGTGTCTTGGAAGATGAAATATTTTTGTCATATCAAGCGCCATGGCGGATTGGAAAAAATAATAGCAGAAAGCATGGTACCAAAAAGGAGGGGCAGGGGCTGACAAACACAAAGATGGTTAAAGGATATAAATGACTCCTTGAATATGAAAGTACATGAGTCGGGAGAGCTGGCGAGAGACGTAGTTTCTTTCAGGCAGACTGTGATGAGGGGGATGTTCTGCAAAGGGTCTGCTACATGATGATGATGTGTCTATAGTACAAGTTATCTCAGCAATCTAGGGAGAATAAAGAAAGCCTAAAATAAGACTATAAAGTTACTTCTGTAGCCTTATTGTGTGGGTTCTGGAGCCTCATTTGTTAGGATAGTCTCAGTGCCCCTTAGCCAGCATGTTGTAAAAGGAGACTTATTTGGGGTTTGCTGAAGTCAGATATGTTGGGCAGAAAGACGTGCATATCCCAGCCTAGCTGTAAACCACAACAGAATGTGCCAGCCATCCTTTTAAGGGTGAAAACAGAATAACAACTATAATCAAGGATAGAAAATAAAAGAGACTACAAAAATTGTAAGATTATTTTACACTTTAGGAAAAAGAAAAGTCCTAACTGTATCACCCCATGAAAGTCAGTTTTATGACATTTATGGGTTTAGGATGACATCTTTAGGCAGCGGTTACTGAGCCTATATAATAGCAGCTTTGATACTGGTTGTAACTGCTTAGTCTATAGATATGGCGGAAAAGATATTTTTCTAAAAACATTTTATTCAAATTATTTGCGATAGTCTTGTCTTCTTAGTGACTTGCGGGCTGTGATGATGCAAAAACTGGCAGTTTTGCTAGTTTGCCCTGTTGTATTATTTTGTCCTCGGCATCTGTTTTCATCATTTTATTTATTTTTAATGATTTCAGTCATCTGCTAAAACTAATTATTTCTTTGGTTTTATCATCTTCACAATTTATGATATTTTCAGCACAGCTTTTTAAAGATATATTTCATAAACTCTCTGCAGTATTTCTTCTTGTCAGTTTACCATTGCAACTCATCAATGTATCTTTTCTTTTAACATGCAGTTCATATCATTAACTTTATTCATATAAAGGTATTTTTCATCTGACAACTGTCATACTGTGTGTGTGTGGGCGTGTTAGTTAGTTATTTAGTTAGTTAGCTAGTTAGTTAGTTAGTTAGCTAGCTAGTTAGGTTAGATTGGGTTAGTTAGTTAGGTTTGTTAGGTTAGTTAGTTAGGTTTGTTAGTGTCACAACCCTATTAAGTACAGTCAGTGTACCACACCGTAAGGTGTGCACCCAGGGTTGACACAGAGGTCAGGGCCGTCACTGGTCGAGTCCGTTCTGTGATCGCACGGCGAAACCAGCGCTCAGGATAAAGCAAGAAAGCTTGAACTGTGTTTTAGTAACACGATGACTGCTTCTGGGACTGAGCTGGTGAACGGGGTCAAGAGACACGAGGGAGAAGGAAGAAGGACATTCGGTGTGCGTCGGTCAGGAAGAGAGGACGTTTAGTGACTGGATAGTTTATGTTATAGTATTAAAGTTAGGATATATTTCTGTTAGTGACTGGATAGTTTATGTACAGTTTTGTGTTAGGATAGGATAGTTCTTGTGTAGAGTATTTATGTATATGTGCTGTGAGAGAGTGGCTAACCTGGACACTCTGACCCTGCACTAGGACAGAGACTGTGACAGTTTGATTGGGTCAGCGTGGCGATAGAAGAGAGCGTATCCTGCCGGATTGTGGTTTGTACACCAGAGTATTGCCTGTCGCACGTACTGGGGACGGGGCGATTGTAAAGCCCGTCCAGCCAGAGGGTCCAGGCAATAGGTGGCCACACGGCGGGAAGTCAACTGTCTATGTATTACCTGTACTTCCAATAAAGATTGTCGTGTGTGCTCTGTGTGCGTTCGGGTTCAGTGTGTGTTGTAGGTTAGTCTGTCTGTCATAGGCCTAGTTAGCGAGCCACGGACCGGCAAGGTCATACCAGAGGTTTGTGACAGATTATGGGGGCGTTCGTCCTTGGGAATTGAATCGATAGTAGTAGCTACATAGTAACAGTTGTCCGCGTTAATTGTGAACCCAATGTGCTTGTATTTATTTGTCTAAATAGGAGACATAGATTAGTTTGTATGTTTAGCTGACTGATTTATTTTTCTTTAAGTTTTGTCGTTCACTATTGTAGGGCTAACGTGATTGAGTTAATCCCTTAATTTTGATGTTGCTATCGAGTAAGTTTGTGATGGCGTAGCTGAGTTAATTCTCTTAAATATTGCATCGTTGTCCGGGCCTACTCTTAATTATTGATAGCGACATCGGGGTTGGCTTGGGTCACCCGTAGCGCTATAAAGTGATAGTTTGTTATCGTTTTCGTATGTGTTCCGACTGATTGTAATTAATTATGACTAAGTGTGATAGGGCTGCGTTTGCGTCTTGACAAGTTAGTGACGTATAAGAGAAATAGTTTGACGGACAGTAAAGAGTGTGAGGAAGGTTGTGTGTGGTGGAGTGGTTGCTGCTGACACCGATCAACCGAGGCCTGTCGTCCTCGGTCATCATCATCCTCATCATTCTTTCTGTGGGAGGCCAAGAATCAAGGACTGGAGAGAAGATAAGTCTGTTTTTGCTTTTGGTGTATTGTTGTGGTCTGTTCTCCAGCCCTCGAGGGTTCCACGCAGTTGTATTTGAGCCCCTGGCACCGTTCATTGTCCTTCTCATTTCTCGTCTGTCCTATTCATCATTTACGTTATTTTTGTGGGTGGTTGGCAGGGCTAGTCTTGTGTTGTCCCTAGTTGTCTAGTGTTGCTAGGATTAACATAAGATTACGTGTCACCTATATTGCGATTCTAGTCTCGTCTGCAACTCCTTTTGCAGCCGGGTCTATTGTCAAGATATATGCTTGTAGCGTCTTGTTTGTAAATAGTTATTGTCCAATCGTTGTGCTTTCCTGTCAATAAGTGTTTATCTAATAGTACGTTATCGTTCGTGCGTGTACCGTCTGATTTAGAGATTAATAATTTCTTCGAGGTGTTTTCGTGTGTGAAATTGTTTTCCACGTAGTGATACTAGTGCTGTTCATTTTTGTGTTAATTTTTTTTTTTGTGCACACACATCATCATCCCTCATTCGGAAATTGTAACGAATAAGTTTCGGTGACCCATCCCTTTTCTGCAACGAACAGTCCAAATTGTTCCATAATTATTATTATTATTATATTGAATTTATTACGTTGCTAAATTATTTGGATTGTTTTCACTGATTTCCGGGCTTGCCACTTGTAATTTTTAGTATTTTTGTTCGTGGCAGCTACGGTTAGTCAGGTGATTTGTTGAGTGGTTGTTGATTATTATTTTGAACAAAAGATCATTGTTATTGTAATTAAGATGTCGAGTCTATCTGAGTTCCTCGAGATGGCAAAACAGCATGGTCTGACTGGCGAGAAGGCGCTAGAATGGGCAGATAGGAAATATGCCGATCTTCAAGAGAGAAAAGACAGAGCTGACGAGAGAGAACTCAAGAAATTGGAACTAGAAGCCGCTAGTAAACTAAAGCAGATCGAGCTGGAAGCCCAAGCGGCATTAAAAGACAAAGAGTTATCTGCGATGGCTGAGAGAGACAGGGTACAGTTGTTGATAAAGGACAAAGAGCTAGAACACACCGCTACCTTGAGACTCAAAGAGATGTTATGCAATTCAGACCTAGAGAAAGAAAGGCTGGTGATGGAACTAAAAGCCAAAGAGATAGAAGCAACTAGAGATGCTGAGGTGCAAATGCGTAAGGCTGAGATAAAGGCTGCTGAACCTTCGTTCAAAAAGTACCCAGGGCCTAATAAAATTTTTTACACAGGGTGATTCCATATCTGCATGGACACAAAATTTTGAATGTATGGTTAATCACTATGAGGTCCCTTTTAAAGAGTGGTCACTGATTTACCGAAAACATCTAGGGGGGGAACCTTTGAAATTACTAGAAACAATCCCTACTGAAAAACTTGAGGATTATTATTTTGTCAGGGACAGAATTCTCCAACATTTCTCCCTAGATGAGGAATCTTACAGAAATACCTTTAAAAATTTGATTCCTAAAGCTGAACAGACATTTCTGGATTACATGTCTGAGGTGGTATCCACTTTCGACAAGTGGGTAACATCGGCGAAAGTGAACAAATCATACGAGTTGTTAAAAGATCTTTTGATAAGAGACAAGGTGTTGTCAAGTGTCCCGAGCAGCATGAAGACGTTTTTGATTGAGCAAAAACCTGAAACAGTAAAGCAGATGGAAGATGCAGGTGCTGCATACTGGAATGCACACAGAAACATTTTTAGTTTCAATAAGGGTGCAGATGTAAGTTACGGAGCTGCAGTACAACCTGTATACAGGAAAAAGCAATATACTCACGAGAAGAAAGGAGAACACTCGAGGGAGTACAAGAGTTACAGACCTCTTAGAGATAGAGGACCAATAGTAAG